ATTTGTATTTCTATAGAATCTTGTATTAACAATAAAAAGTTAGTACTTCACCATAAATTCTATACCAATCTCGGTTGAGGACCAACGATCACCGGTGGCAGTGAACTTGTTAAGATATTACCGTGCTCGTGCATACGATCAACAGGTCTCGATTTGATCGTTCCTCTCGCATCTCGCGTGACACACGACGAGGACTCGTGTGGTAAAATTGCTGCGTGACGTGCGATCGATAAAGAGTTGAACTTGGACGAAATCGATCCGTTTCCGTGGAACCGGGAGGATCTTATCTGATCGAGCGTGTCAATATGACAGGCGAGGGGAAAAAGGGGAAAAAAATTCTGGCGCTTCCACGAAGAAATCCTCCCGAGTCGATCGCGAAAAACAGGCCGTGTAAATTCTCTCGGCGTTCATATTTATAGTACGCTGAATTACACGGGGTGAAAATAGAAGCGTCGAAAGGTTCAATGTATCCGAGACTCGTGACTGTTCACGCATTTGTGTGTGGATCGCGCACGGGATTTTCACGGCCTTAATTATAACACATGCGACAATAATAAGGCCATATCACTGCCCTCGTTTTCGCGACTTATCTTTCTTAAATACGGAAACACCTGTGTCCACTAGACACGCAAAAATATAGAACGCTTTATGGGTGGATCGAAACTCTAAAAAGTACAAGATATTTACTAAAGCGTTTTAAAGTAAAAAAGTACGAGGTTGCATTTTTATGAATTTACCTGTGTCGTTTGTATACCGTATATATTTATAGAAATTAAATACTAAAATATTTATGTGTAAAATAAATATCAATAAAAATACAAATTTATGTCCGATCACGTGTCCAACGACATCGCGGAAGTCTGGCGAGAAATTCTTTTCCCGCCAACGCGACGCTTATTTTGGCTCGCTGCTACAATTGCGATCCGTCCCAAATACGCAACTTTGAAATATGTGCTTGTCAAGCCATTTTTCAACTGGGAACGTTTTCGGGTGCATCAACAGGTTGGCCGTGGAGAAAACTGTGTATCTCTTGTAGAGCTGCGATCGATGGACGTTGATCTAATTTTGATACCCCAGAAAATCTCTACGAGTTCGATCGAACGATAAAAAAGGGGACTACGAAAACGCCGGAGGAATATTCGCGATTTCTTTGCTCACGATTCGATACCTGTGGATCAGCTCGCAGCGAAATGAGAAATACACAGACTGGCGTTTCACTTCTCTCGGATCGTGATCGTAAAAAGATGAACGGTTGCTGTGCGCCGTGTTCGTACTCGTTTTCGCTGAGGCTAACGTATTCCGCTCTGAAATAGGTTTCTAGGTTGATTTCAGTGAATCTTTTTTCCCCCCAGTCCGCAGGCGTACTCTTATCGAAGGTGCTAACGGTAAAACGTGTTAGTCGAGGGGCCAAGAGGTTATGGTAGTACAAACAAAAAAGTGACAACGTTCCATATTTGTGTGGCGTTGCTTCCCGTACTCGTCATCAGAGGGCCACGCTCTTATGTTTCTCTCGCAAGCGCTGGACCAAATCTTCCGTTCCTATATACAGGGTGTTCGGCCACCACTGGGAAAAATTTTAATGGGGGATTCCAGAGGCCAAAATACGACGAAAATGAAGAATAACAATTTGTCGATGGAGGCTTCGTTTTAAAGTTATTAACAATTAAAATCAAAAATTTCAAATCGTTCAGGAAAAATTATTTTCGGTTGCGGGGGTCAATTACAATCATTTTTTATGAATACACATACCCCCGAAATCCTACGCACTTTCGAGAAAAAAATTCGAGGTGTGAAATTTTTCGACGGAAAAAAAAAATTTCAAATCGTTTTGGAAAAATTATTTTCGTTTGCAAGAGTCAATTACAATCATTTTTGGTGAATAGCCACATCCTCGAAATCCTACCCACTTTCTAGAGAAAAATTCGAGAATGTGTGAAATTTTTCGATGGAAAAAAAAATTTCAAATCGTTTTGGAAAAATTATTTTCGGTGGCAAGAGTCAATTACAATCATTTTTGGTGAATAGCCATATCCTCGAAATCCTACCCACTTTCTAGAGAAAAATTCGAGAATGTGTGAAATTTTTCGATGGAAAAAAAAATTTTAAATCGTTTTGGAAAAATTATTTTCGGTGGCACGAGTCAATTACAATCATTTTTGGTGAATAGCCATATCCTCGAAATCCTACGCACTTTCGAGAAAAAAATTCGAGAATGTGTGAAATTTTTCGATGGAAAAAAAAATTTCAAATCGTTCTGGGAAAATTATTTTCGGTTGCGGGGGTCAATTATAATCATTTTTGGTGATTAGACATACCCCCGAAATCCTGCGCATTTTTCGAGAAAAAAATTCAGGACGGGCGGAACTTTAAACGTTAATAACTTTTTAACGAAGCCTCCATCAACAAATTGGTATTCTTGATTTTCGTCTTCTTTTGACCTCTAGAATTCCCCATTAAAATTTTTCCCAGGGGTGGCCGAACACCCTGTGTACGCTCCTCGACTGATTATCCAATATCCTGGCGTCTGATGCCATTCATTTCTTAACTCTTGCTATCTCGCCTACCATTTCTCCATACAGCAGAAACAACTGTCATCTTTGGTTAAAAGAGATTTCCAAATACGAAGGAAAAACATTATTTTTCTAAGTTCGGTAACACTAGGAATTTTTCATGGTCAATGGGTAGCTTCGTATAATTCTAAGGTTCCCAAGGAATAAACAATCCCCAGATAGTTCTACAGAGTCCTGTTGCGGTCCTAAAGTACCACAGTTATTGCCTTCGTCGACCAGAAGGGTGTTTTATATCGTAAAAATATTTGTTCACGTGTTTCGTAAATATCAATAAATGTAAAAAATTCCGACAGAAAATGTTGTATGGTTCTTTGACAAAACAATATATAAAATGGACTTTGAAAGACACGTTTTACTGTAGAAGTACCCTCTTGACTCTTTGAGGTTAGGTGGGTTAAAAACTTTCCCACGGGTTTGCTTAGCTCGATACGTACGATGGGATACGTTTTAACCTCAAAAAGTCGATGTATATTTTACGTTAAATAATTGAAATGTAAAAAGCATTCTGCGCAACTTGTTTTTCCGTTTAAAATCATGTGCTCGACTGTTTAAATCTGTTTAAATCTGTGATCGACTGTGATTCACGATCGCGGTCAGAAGAGGTCAATTTACTTGTCAATTTGTTTTTAGGCGCTCGATAGCGTTTGGAGGAATTGAATAATCGACGTGTGTATAGGGTTAGGCGAAATGGATTCAACCTTGAGGCGCTACGATGCGCTCAGAGTCACGCTCGCATCGCTGTTTTCTTCGCGCGTGTAACCCGGCTGCCAATTATTCTGGTTATTCCGGTACACGTCGATCCTAGCGCTCTCACTTTTACCAATCCGTCATCCGGGCGTCGCAGTTCGAGGATGCTCTCGTCGGTCGTCATCCGTTTCGAAGTTGCCGTTACGTAAAAAGGGGTTTCGTAAATCGTCTCGACGTTCCGACGGGACGCCACCCGCCACCGACGTCGCCTCTGCGCCCCCCTCGTGCTATCGGCGCCTATATTTGTTCCCCGATGTGCGTTGCAAATTTACAAACGTCCGTAAAGAGACACTGTCGGTTCAGCTTATTTTCATTGCGCGACCGAGCTCTACCACCCACGACTCGTTCGGCCCCGGAGTCTCTCGAATTGTCGCGTAAACGGGCGCTTGGAAAGTAGGTGGCAGTTTTCGCAAATCGTCGACAAGGTTAACAAAAGACAAGAGAGAGGTCACCGGTGGTAGTGGGACTCCCGATTTTCCGGGCGCAGATTTCCTCCTTGTCTCTCGTTCGCCTCTCCAGCGAATCTGGAACGAAAACGAAGGAACGCGCGTGTGCTAGCCAATACGCGTCGTTTGCAAAGGTATTACAAACATGGGGTGACATCTGGTCATTTCTACTCACCAAAAAACTAAATGGAACAGTCGTTATTTTTATTTGTCCTTTTACTTAGAAATTAACAAACACGAATACGTCACGATACTCGTCGATACATTACTTTGATACGTACACGTGCATATTAAAAGTAATATTTTTTAACGCGTTTAGCGCCATGGCGGTCACCGGTGACCGACAGCTCGATGCACATCGCTTCCTTCAACCATTTCTATCATTAATACTACGAAATAATATATTATAATTTGTAATAATTGTTTAGGAATGTTCTTAGAAAGTTTTAGAAATTTTGCATGTGACGTCATTATTTTTCGGAATGTTGACCTAGACATTTCTATTTGCGACCGTTACAGATCCCGCGAATCAGATGTATAAAATGACGGAAGCACATCTTCGAAACGTGCGCGTTCAGAACTGTTTCGCTTGGCATCGGCATGGAACTTCCGTGCCAAAGGCAAAGAAAATTCGTCTTTGTTCGACGTTGGTTAAGCTACTTAACGATTTAACCCGAGAATACTCGGGTAACGTACAGTAACAGAATTAAAAATACCATATTTAATCGTATTACCAAGAGAAACGATTATGGTCAAGTTTCGAGGTATCGAATACCGTCATTATTTTTCTAGACTTCTCTAGACTAGAATAAATTTTGTTCACCGTGAAACGAATTTTTGTACGTTTGTCTGTTCGCGATGAATTATGCGCTGACGTTACAGATTTTCTGGGCGAGGAATATTATTTATTATGTGTACGAGTACCGCTCGTGAAAATTGGCGCAAGATTAAATTTGGCACGTGCAAAAGATTCACAACAACTTGTAATTGTTTCCCCGTTGCAAACGGAACGGAAATATCGCACGATGCTTAGAAATAGATAGTTCGTTATGTTCATAAATTTGATCGTATCTTGTTTGCATTTCTTTTCCATAGTTTAAAGATAAAAGTAAATAATTCTGTGATAACCGTGGTCGTTGAAAGTTAAATAATTTAATTTACTATCGAAACGTAAGACGTATTTTGTGATAAAAATTAATGAATAATTAATATCACGATTCTATTTATTATGTTACAGTTTCCTGGTGAGTGCATCCTCACATACATGGAGTTTCAGCTGGATAGCGCAGAATACTGCCAGGCTCAACACAAATAGAGAGACACGCCCAAACACCCTAGAACCTGCTAGGTATCATTAAAGGAGAAGTAAGGAGGAATCTTAATTGGGCAAAAGAAAATTTGATAATTTGGGATCGTTGCCTCGAAATCACTAAATCATCAGCTAGTCATTGCGCGAGACATAAAGGATTTAAATAGAATCAATTGTTAATTTACAATATTAAATGCAAGCATCATAGTTACTGAGCGCACCTGATCCAGGCGCACCCAGTGCCAAATAGGTAAGGATCATAGGCGCTACAAATCTTGACATGTTGTTTAAACAGATCTTCAGAGAGATTTTTCTTCCAGATAATCTTCCAAATCGTAGTCAAGGGTTCCAAGTGAGAATCGATCGCATATCAACAACGCCTAATGTAACGTAGCCCTCACCCTTTCAGCGAAATTCGCACCCCAACAACCCTTCTCGAGGTCTACATGTAAACCCACTGTTCTGTCCTCTGTAAAAAAATAAACAAGTATTCAATTAGTTAAATGAGAAACAACTTAATAAGACTGACATCTATGGGCTAAGTTGTCAAATTCAGCCTTTGTTGCTTCGTATAGTGTGGCACGTTGTAAAAGTGAAGAGAAACAGTGTCGTACAAAAATCATTAAAAAAGAGTTAGAACAATAAAAAAAAAAGTAGGAGTACACCACTTGTTGTCCAAGAGGAAATGAGCAACATGAGGGTGAAGGACATCAGGCCGGCGCCCGCCGAAATCGAATACAAAAATATGAAGTTCCTCATTACTGATCGGCCCAATGATCAGACCATTCATACTTTTATTCAAGTATGTTCACCACTGATCTGTTCTAAATGTATATCGGCATGAATTCTGTACGTTAAAATTGCGGAATTCGATTGTTTCAATAGGAACTGAAGAAGCACAATGTGAAAGAAGTAGTGAGGGTCTGCGAACCAACGTACAAAATTGAGGAACTTAAAGCAGAAGGGATCAATGTCATAGACTTGGTGTTCGACGACGGTACATTTCCACCGAATGAAGTAAGTGTCGGTAGTCGCTGATGTTAAAAAGTGTTGTAAAAATCGTTGGATTGTAATTACATAAATTAACTTTTTATTTCAGGTCGTCGACGAATGGTTTGAACTGCTGAAAAACCGGTTCCGCGAGTCTTCTGATGCATGCGTGGCAGTACATTGCGTCGCAGGACTTGGCAGAGCACCAGTCTTAGTTGCACTTGCTCTTATTGAATTGGGTCTAAAGTATGAAGATGCAGTCGCGTTAATCAGGGAGTGAGTATATACTTGTCAGTTAAAATTGTTCGTTTCCTGCGTTTTGTGCATTAAGTAGTTATAAAAATAATTTATTTCTTCAGAAAAAGACGAGGCGCCATCAACGCAAAGCAGCTGGCCTACCTTGAAAAATATCGTCCCAAGTCTCGGTTGAAGCTCAAAAATGGACAGAAGAACTCCTGCTGCGTCCATTAGATTAAACGATTTCTTTGAAAAGTTACTAATTCATACTGATTGGTATACCAAATTGTATAGGTTTTCATGCCTGGTAACAAGAGACATACTGTATCGACTCTGTTTTGAAAGGCCTATCAATGGAAATGCAACTCAACTACTTATTTACTAAACAATTTTTAACGCTATATTTTGCACCATCTAATTATTCGTTATAAACCAAATAATTATAAAGTGGAAATTGTTTACAATTGTTTTTCACTTTTATTTTATGAAATTTTTGTATTTATTTTTGATACTAAATTAATATTGAATGCTGCTGAACTGGAAGAAGCCTTCTGCACATGATAAAAGTAGGAATAAATTTGACTGGATCTGATTACTTGTATAATAAAAAAAATTGGATCAACTTGTGCATTACATGACATAACGTAGTGTCTGGTTTAAGACTATTGTGTACAAGAATTTCGGAAGGCTGCATTTATTTGGTCCAAGAAAATAAAATATGCAATACGTTACCAATCAATTTATGAATATTTAGTTGATGCGTTATTTACATAAAATATTTTAGGGATAGTTGGAGAAAATAAACTTCAGACTCTGATGATTTTTTTGTAAAGATAGTTCCTTTGGTGCTACGGTCGTATCCAACTGTCAGCAAACGTAGCTTTTTAAAGGAATGAGTGCAATAAAGTCTTACATTTTCTAGAACAATTGAACACAGAAAATGTATAAGTGTCTTATCAACAATTTTTTAACTTGAAAAATGAACGAACGATTCACACATGTTTCGCATATAACATGAACAAGAAAATAAAATAATAGCAAGATCTGTACGGGGATTTCTTGTAAAAAGAACAAGATCATAAGTTAAAATATATTTATTAAAGAACATGCATCCTATACATTCAATAAAGTGTATACAAGAATATGTACATTGTAGGTGATCCAACCTGATCAAATTTGATTAAACTGGTGTGTACATTGTGTATATTGCAAATATTCTTTGAACACGATAAATATTCTTTATTCTCGCAAGTAATGGAAATCGATACTCGATTTGAATCGAGTATTTGAAGCGACTCAATGTGTTGCCTAATAATTAACATTATAATGCAACATATATTTTGAGACACTTATCACATTTGTAAAGAGAATACCAAATTTGTATAAAATAAAAAAGTAACAAAAATTCTCAAATACTTTAATGAACAACTTTGTGAATACTAGTTTTAAAACATGAACTGCACCATTCAGTTTAGTTAGCGGTGATTTGTAATAATATAAACCTCGGTAAGCATATTTATCGTTACGTATTCAGTAACCATTAATTTAATAAATATTGGATAGAAAACGTTGACGTTTCGTTCAGAGATGTTGTAGGACTCCTCGGTAAGGCTAATCGAACAAATTTGGTCTTAGAAAACGCGACTCGACGGATATTGTAATTGATTCGTATGCATAGAATTTCTAGGTTAAATTGAAACTACGAGAAACTGTTTTAAGCAAATTACTACCTGTTGGTGTTGGAGACTTGATCAGTACAAGAGTTTAAAGTCAACAAAATTTCAAATAGAAAAATAATTTCTTAGTCGTCGTATGTGTCAAGGCATAAATTAAAGCAAATGAATGGTTTAGCCAGCGGTGATTTTTAATTAATATAAGTCCTATGTGAATAGGTTTTTGCGAAATGGAATTTAATTCTTGAATTATCTTAATCGTAGACCAATGATATCTTCTGAGGGGCATTGTTTCTCAAGGAGAAAATACACTCTTGAAACAATCGTCAACAAATAAATGAAAGGAATTCTTTGATCTCTTCGTAATCTTGTTGATTTGCCAACAAAGATTAGTGGACAGTTGCAATTGAAGATATTAAATGGAAAAGTAAATTATTTAGTTATAAATTTTGCATACTTTAAGGCTCGATTAAAATTATTTCGAAGTAAAAGATCGTTCAAATCCTCGGATTGTGATATATTTGTTGATCCTTTGCGAGCGGATATTTCGATGTACATGCAAAACGATAAATGTATATTGTTGGCTATATTCAGATACCACCAACAAAGGAATAAATTAATGGTTACTGAACATACAGCGTCAATAAATCACTACCGAGTCTTATATTAATTAATATCAGTGGCTGCTAAACTGTTACGTTACTCTAGTTTATATTTTAAAACATGCCGCAACTAAATAATCATTTTTCTATTTGAGATTTCGTTGACTTTAAACTCTTATATTGTTCAAGTCTTTAATACTATTTGTTGGTAATTTGCTTAAAAACGTTTCTCGCGGTTAATCGCAACATCCAGTCGTGTCTAAATCGAAATTTACTGAATCAGCGTTACCGAGGAGTCCATCGACATCTCTGGATGAAAAGAAAAATGTTTAACATAGAATCTATTAAATTTTTTGAGGTTATCGAGTGTGTCATTATAAAGAGCACTACTGAGAGTCTTAAACTAATTAAAATTACCGCTGGCTGAACCGTTATTTCACTTTAGTTTATATTTTGAAATATACGATGACTAAACAATTATTTTTCTATTTGGAATACTAGTTTTTTAAACTGTTAACATTAACGAAAGAAGCATAGCGTTGCATTTCCAGTGGCATGCCGAATCGATGGGTGTTCATAACTCTTATTGAACTTGGAATCTGCGTTAACTTGAATAACGAATATTGTGAAACAAAATGAAGTAATTATCACTCCAGAGTTATATATCACTTTTATCGTAGCTTAACGGCAATTTCACCAAAATTTTTTAAACATCTACTTTTATTCGATAAATTTTAGAAGCTGCATACGCGTTTTGTGTGAAGCGTCATAATTATATTCGCAATTTTGGTAAAATTGTCGGTGATGCTGAACGCCACACTAAACTGTGTTCAAAAGATAGATGAAAAAAAATTCGCTCCTAAAAATAATGAATGTAATACTTAGATCATTTCATACGTCTGCCGATTTTATGTGAATGTACATTTCCGCATATATTATGATACGTGAATTGTGTTTACTGTTTCGTGCTTAGCCGAGATTGTGTACAAGAGTGATGTGAATTGTCATAGTCGATGTTTGTATTCGTTCTTCTTTTCTTCTTTTTTTTCCCCCCCCTATGATTAGTACGTAAGAATTCTAAATGACATTTTTCTACAAAACTAACTAATGAATTTAATTACATGGATGTTGCGTGCGTCGTCGATGACAAAATCGTTGTCCTTTTTGTGCATAATTTTTTGAGTACCAGTAACCGCGTACATTCACTGTAATCGCAGACTCGAAATGAAATTTGAACCTGGTACAGCTCCTTTTTTGTAATGTTAAAAAAAAAAACTGCAATATTTTTTACCAGAGGATGGGACGAGGGACACTCGTAAAAAAAGAAAATTATCGAACCTTAGATCCGAAATTGAATAACTTTTACTATTCAGTTTTTCTTAGTTTAATTACTGTAACAATCGTTACGAACGTTAATGTGTTTTTTTTTCTTTCTTCATACAACCCCTGTTAAAGTAAGATATCGATACTTTGATTAGGTACACCTAGCATTCATTGGAAAGTTACCAACGAATCTATCGTATGAAATTTACTTTTTGCACATCGATTCACTTCTTCAAGCGGCTTCTCTATCGGAAGTAATTATGTGTATGAGTGAATATTTTTTATCTGTGATATATTTTTTGCGAAAAAGGTCGAAAAATTAGAATGAAATAAAATGATAGGGTTTATTAAAAATGCTAATCGTGGCCCATATCTTTAAATTTGAAAGTTAATGGGCATTCGTAGATCTTATTTGAAATTGTATGTAGAAACGTGTTTTGATCTTGAATATTTACTATTCCATGTACTCGCCGAGTATCGAAAATCTTTATTCTCGAAGGATTGAATCGAAATATCGTGAAATTTTATTTTATTATTCAAAGTGAGAAAAAAAGAAAAAGAAAATCCATGAAATCATGAGTTATAGGTTAAATTGCCATTCTTTTATAATGGCAATCGTGAAGATCGTTTTCGTACAATATTTTGTATTTTATGTTTAAAAACGTTTCAACTCATATGAATACTGCGAACAGAAACAACTTAGGTAGCAAAGAAATCCTCTATTTTGAGCCGACGTAATAAAAAAAGAAAAAAAGAAAACAGTCCTTTCAAATTGATTAAGAAAAAAATAATAAATTTAACGAGTTAGCGCAATTTAAACAAAAATTACTATTATATATTTAATTTGTTAATGTAATTTCCTACTTACTGCTCTATTAATGACATATTGATTAAATGAAACAAAAAGTTTTGTTATATTGTAAAACATCAGTAATGAAATAAAAAAGAATGGAAGTCGTTTTGTGAAGAAGTATTCGTCTTTTGATATCTTTTATACTGGACGTGTTACTAAAATAAAATATTTCTACGGTATTAATGTTTCTTTGAAAACATGATAGAAATCATTTATTTAAACAGTTTCTTTGTTTTTTTTCTTTTTTTTACAGAATTATAAGTATGCGCGAACAATGTGTATAGAAGTTCGATTAATATATTTTTCTTATTTATACAGTTGCTTATTTTACAGAAACGAGTTATCGGATCCTGGGAAAGGTAAGTGGGAGCTACCTGAAGTACGCATTGGATCAATATCTGGTGGTCCAAATGGATAGAATCTTGCCTGAGGTGGAACAGCCCTCCTTCAATGAAATAAATAAAATAACGTTGGTATTATAAATTTTAATTAAATATTTTGTAATTGCGCTTATTAACATACGGTGGTAGTCTTTCTCCCATTCCTATTCCCGGTCGAAGCGGATCGAAATGATTACGTCTATCAGGCAAGAAGGGATCGTAGATCATACCACCGCCGCGTGCAAACGGATCTAAATCTGCAGCTCCTATGTTTGACGGGTCAGCGTTAGGATACCTCGGATAAATTTTAAATATTTATTTTAGTAATCAATTTGGCATGCTAAAGTAGTAATGTTATATCAGGCACGTCGCAAACAGAATGGAAATATTTATATTAAAATAGCATTGATTTTTCTGTTCCATCTGTTTGTCATTTGTTGCTATTAATATAAAGAATGATAGACTTTTTTTTTATAAGTTGAGAATATTACCATGTACGTGCCGCCAATGGTGTACTACTTGGTGGTTGTACTCTTAGTGGAACTGTTTGTGGCTTGCTGGTAGACTGTGTAGAATCATTCTTATCTTCGTTCGCTGTTGTCTGTACAGAACTCTCTCTAGTATTACTAGGCAGTATCGGTTCAATAAGATCTGTTCCAATTGTTTGTAAAACATTTTGATACGAAGGTATTACAGAATCCAAGGATCCATGGAGATTCTGTACGGTTTGATTAATTGGAAACTGAACGTTGGATACATTTTGATCTTCGACCCTCTAAGAATTAAAACATTTGTAATTTACTAGTATTTTAAAAAGAAATGTATTGCATAAATACAATTTGAAATTACCAGTAAATTTATGAGTAAATCATCATCGGATCTTGTACCATATAATATATACAATTTCTTATCCTTTGCATAACGTAAAACGTAATTGGGACGTTTGTTCCATCCCTCTGGAAGTAATTTTGATCCCTTCTCGGATGTATCGTATGTTTGCTAAAAGACAAAGAAAGAAACTGTTTAAATTGCACCAGAACACATTCTTATGTTTCATAAATGTACTCAGCACCGCGGAGTTCAAATAATGCGAAATGACAATATGTAATTGCATTAAAATTTTAATATTATCGAACGGTTCGCGATGGTTTGGAATAGTAAAAAATAACTATGAACGTCTAGTAGGTTAGGTATTGCAACGATCGAATAAGGAAATGTATTTGTAATTCTCTTTCAATTACAATAATAAATTATATAAAAATGATTGTTATCGATATTACGCGATATGTTGCAGCAATTTTTCTTGTTGCAACTTACGTTGTCACCGAGGCCAAAACAGTCCGCTCCCGTCTTTACTAAATACGAGTGAACGCATACAATTAAAACGTCCTCCTTTTTCGAAATCTCAGAATCGTAGAAACTTTGCAAGAGATCGAAGCTGAAGACGAAGTTGCTTTTATCAACCATTTTTATTACGAATGACAGACGAGTTTTGAAATTACGTATGAACTTCTCTCCATCGGCGTGTTCGCAACAATTGACGGTGCAGCTCGGCTGTACTCGGCCTTGGTCGTTCACATGGCTTCCAGCGCTTATTATAACCGTCAGTTATGTTTTGATTTGATTTTACAGCGTTCACAAAAACAGTAACGTCATCGTTACGTCACAAGTTTATCGCATTGAGGTAGGACAGCAAAAGTGCGAACTCTTGACAAATGTTTCATGCAACGAAAATAAAATAAAAAAAACTGGTACAAAATGTAATTTATTTATAAAGTAAACTCTTATTTGTTATGTATGTACATATTCGACGAAATCTTTTGTCGCCGATTACTCGACGCATACGTATATCAACATTCGTAAAAAGCAACAACTTAGTAACTAGAATTAGAATCGGTATCTTCCTCGAATACATCGGACGATCGAGGGGGCGACGAACTACCTAAAATTTCTTCCTCGCTTTCCGGTTCAGCTCTGTCCTTACTTTCCAAAGCGTAGCGTCTCCAAGAAAATCTGTGAAGATCGAAAGTTTTCGAACTACTTTTGATAACTATTTAGAAAGCTACTATTTTACCTTGTCTTTTCGTTAAAACAATCCTCGATGAACGTATGTGAAACTATTTTAGAATGGCCCTTTAATTGTTGATGCTTTGGCGTATTTTTAAATGCACAAATTAGATGAGTGCATTTTTTGTTGGTTGTATTAGGATCAGCAATGTACTTGGCGCCCATTTGAAGAGCCTTTCTCCTAATTTCGTCTCTTTGTGGATTAACATAGCCGCTAAGCGAAAACGTAATATCTTCGAAAAGTTTTGAAAATAATTTTTTCGGTTTCTGTGATTCGATAGTTTTCTTTTTCGCAGCTCTTTCTGGCCTTGGCATTAGTTTCGGTTCAGGTAATCGTCCGCAATTCTTACACACTTTATCTTCTTCGTTTTGACACTGAGGACAATTTTCTTTTTTCTTATTTACGTTCCCTTTTGACGAACTTTCTTCCGGGCTTAAGGAACGTTTTCTTGAATTTGTACTATGTCGCGAATTTTCTTGTTCGATGTCCTTTTTATTTGCTTTAGGCGATGGTGCAGGCACGATATCTCCAAATGGTGTTCGCATTACCGGTTTATCGTTTAATTTGCTTGTATCTTTTACATCTTTGTTTTGACTATTAGATACCGACGTCAAATTGGCGGAATTTTTCTTAGGCCCAAATACTTCCTCCGCTTTTCCAGCTTCTAACTTTTCTAATAATGGTCTTTTCGTTGGTTCTTTATTCTCTTCTTGACGTTTAGAAAAATTATTCATACCTGTCTCTTTGATTTTCGTAAGTAATTCACTTTTGTAATCTGTTTTTTTAGCATTAGTCATTTTGAGATACTTTTCTTTAAAATCACTTAGAGATGTTTTGTTGGCATTGTCCTCTGGCTGTTTTAATTTAAATCTTCCAAAAACGTCCAATCCCAAATCAACTACTACCTCCGTTTTGAATTCAATGAATGACAGTCCAAATAATTCTTTCAAGTTTGCCGATTGCATGCAAGTCACTTTGACACGGTCAAATTTTATTTTTAATGTCTCAGGATTTAGGTCTTTCTTTGAGAATATCTGTACTTGATCTCTAAATTTATTGTTTACAGCTTCCTCGTGCGTCATAAATTGGTGGTTTACAATGGGAATCCAGTTGTCAGGCTCTGCTGATGTGGAAGCCGTAACAATTACAACGCAACTACGATAATTACCAATATCCAAGCCTATAATGCAAGATGGTTCTGCTAATTGAAAAATGACAGTGCTAAGCATTTCTCCTGGTTTGGCACATCTCCATGAACTGTTCGAATGATGTTTCAGGAGATTAGATACAGGATATGATGGATGTTCGGACGAACAGCTTATTACATTTGACAATTTAATAATCATTGTTTTTCGGTTCTGTTTACTTAGGTTTTCTGCAATCAGGAACACAAGAAAGACATTTATTATTACAACATCTGAAAAATTGGACATTAATAGTATGTATTGTTGTATCAATTTTAAAATAAATAATATAAATAAATATAGCATAAATAAGCATAATTTAGACAAAAGGTGAGTAAAATCGAAGTTAGAAATTAAAAACAAATTCGTCTACATTTTGATTAAAATAATGTGTTTTATAACTGATTACACTAAAGAAGATCGAAATCATTTGTCAAAACGTTTAATAAATTGCTTGTTTATGTTACATTTATTTCTAGATTAGAAATACGTGTTTGTTATTCAATTTTGAAGATAATTAATAACATTTCGAAAATAAAATAATTCAATGTACCGCCAAATCTGCCAATGTACGACGCACACTATCGTAACCATAACCTTTTCATCCCAAGGAATCGTTTAATTATACGAATTTCAATTTCGTTATTTTTTGTAAATGATCCATACTCTTATTTGTACGATATGGTTATTGTACTATAATTCTTGTAATTTGATTTTCGTTATATTTCATTATTAGCATATAGAAAAATTAACCGCGAAATCATCTGCACACACTAAATTTTGGTAACTAAAACGCATCTATTGTATTGAATTTGTTAACTATTCCTAAATGCCAAGGTCATTAAAAAATGTATATTCTACGGAAACGGCAAAAAGATCTTAATTGATATTTCAGTTCGTATCAGAATAAAAATCCAAAACTACTATCACAACATTGACTAACGTAGTGACATTATGTAGGAACTAAAATTTTGGAGGGAACTAAAGTACAACTGATTTTAGCACATTTTAACTCGATTAAGTGATAAATTATTTGAGAAAATGTATTTCTTAATTTAAAAGCAGCAAATAATATGTTCTGCTAGAAGAAAGGAGTATACGAGTTATCAACTACTGAACTATTTAAGGGATTAAAGAGTCAGTAATCTGTTTGTTCTATTCATTGGCGGGAAACGGAAGAACAAGACGTACGAAAAGGCATCTTATGGAAATGGCCAGGTTAATCTGAGTAAGGAATTCTAGAGTGAAGCATTGGTTGCAGTAAATTATCTACAAAATAGAACGTCATAGATCTAAACAAAAGGACACAAGACCAGAAATGAAAGTGGTGTAAGTAAAGAAACCAAAAAATATAGATTTATATTTTAGTATCATGGAATAATTTTTTCTAAATAGCCGCGAAAGAAGCAATGACACAAAGATGTCACTTTCATATTTATCCATTTTACGTCCATTTCGAGAATTGTTAAGTTATTTGTTTCTTACATATACGCAATTTGGATTTCAGCAGCTTTCGCGACAATAATGTTAGCACAGACGAGGCATACGAGGTCGTATACCTGGTCTGTGGCTAAAGATAAAGCCCTCCTTACCATTTTCGCGTTACATGCGACGTTATCAGTTCAGAAAAGAATAAGATCGCAGCGCTAACGGAACAAGAGAAATTGTAATTGATTTTAGCGATTATATTTATTCTTTAAATTATTTTTCGCTTTTTGATGGCCGATTTGAAATTAATAACTCAAATTTACAACAAAATAAATATTAATAAAGTGTAGAGATTTTCGAGTAATCGTATTAGTACGTAAAAATATACGAGATGGCGAGAATATTGCGATTTACTCTTTGTCAGTATACGTATCCCTTTGGTCAAAACAATAGGACCGTGTTACAACGAAGCAGGACAAAATACATACATACATATATTTTATATGATATTTTCATGAAACTATTGTCGTTTTGCGGACTCGATCATACACTGTTCGGTAGAATTAAGGGATCATAAGTTTTGGGCCGAAAAATCGCCATTGTTGGAAGTCGGTCGAAGAAAAGTGATTAAGCTTATAAAATAATATCAAGTTAAAGTTTTACTATGTGTTTTTTGGCTCCTTTGATAGAATCAGTATTAAATTCAATCAATAAATGATTCAATCACTGTTTCGTGGTTTAAATCGCGCGGGGCTTTGCTTGCAAACGTTCCCATCGATCGATAGGTCTCGATGGTTAGTTCAATATTCCATCACCAGATGGAGGGCGACAGGACACGTGACGTCACAGGACTCGGTTCTCTCGAGCGTTCCTAGCGGTAGTTCTCGAAAGTACGTTCACTCGATAGGACGACTGTCGTCTGGCGCACGACGAGCTTGAAGCAATATGGCGAAGTGTGTCATGGGCTCGGTGAGACGTAGTGTCGTTTGAAAAGATGAAAAGTTCGCGGTATGGGTTGAAAATAATGTAGCGCTATGAAGATCGTGTGAAAATTCTATTTGTGTATACAAAAGCATCGAGTAGTTCCTTGTGATCGGGATATACAGTGCGCGTTACCGGTGTGAAATCATGGCTACGGATAAAATAAAGGTTGCCGTTCGGGTTCGGCCGTTCAATCGCCGAGGTATGTATTATCCAAAGAGTATCGTTTCTACCGAATGTTTCTCTCGTTATCGTTCTCGCGAACACCGATCGTCCTGCGTCCCGTGGCAGCGTACAATCCGTACGTCCGCGATTTCGAAATCGACACCATCGATTCCATCGCGTTACGATCGGAGCACGGTTTTTGACAGTGACATTTTTCCAGTCGGTCGCGGCCCCGAAGGAGTCGGTGTTTTCACCTGCCGCGCAATATCGAGCCTCGTTATCGTCTTACGTTCCCTTATCTGGGTCTCGTATCGCTGCTTCGTGCCCGATAAAAAAAAAAAGAAGAAGCGTGGAGAAGGGTGAAGACTGTGCATGCCATCCTCTTCGGCAAACCCACGTCTCCAGTGTTTACCAGTTGAATCTTTCTTAGTCCTTTGTCCGAAATACGGGTACCTGCCGTGTCGTGATTTCTGGCATCGCCGCGTTGTGTACCGTCCTGCCATGATCCTCTCGCGGAGACGTCGATGCGAATCGTTAACCGTGCGAGCGTTCGTTAAAATTTCCGAGGAACTCTGGCACCTTGCGCGTCTTTTCTTACCTGCGTTCGTTCCCGTTCGTTCGCGCGAAACGATCCGTCGGCGCCGTGGCACCCAGAGGCTGTCCGCACGTTAAACCGCGTGACAAAGAACAAACATGTGACTAAAATGCCAGAGTGACGTTTACACTCGGCGACCTTCGAGTTTCGTTCGATCGGACATGCGACGCGTTCCTCGATCGACTCGTCGGGAACGGGGAAAACTCGTGGAACGATCGCGATTACGAGTTATCGCGAACCGCCGACGATCGGCTACGCTTTATCGGCGTGCACGACGATAACGATTTCGACGCTCCGATCGGTCTCGTTTCGTACCGTATTTTCTGTAAACAACCACAGAACGATACAGGATCGCGCGAGCGCAACCAACAAGAATGCATCGACAACGCGAGATGCATGCGTCTCGTATCTCGATCGTTTTTAAGCAACGCGTTCTCGATGGAAATAAGTATCGGAGCATGAAATAGGAAACGTTTACGATCCGCATAATGGTTGTTTTTTTTCCATCGCGACTGTCCTTTGGACTCGTGCAACGTTTCAGGTGGGATTCGCGTATCGCCTGCACGCGTATCGTCGGCTGTTTTGACGTAACGGACCAGCGACAAGGCGGCCCGTAATCAGAATATCATTCACGCGCTCGCTGATAAAGAAAGCGCCATTAACGTCGCCATTGCCATTGCCGCGACTTTTTGGCGCTTCGCGCGAATTTCCCTGTTTGGCATTTCCGAATATTCCAACGGTTCTCAACGTTTTCTCGTCTCGCGACGCGGTTTAAATTATCGTATGAACTACGGAAATGGATTAGGTTAGGTTTGGAAAAGATAGTTAACAGGAACAGTCTTGACTTTTTTTTCGAATTTCGCTGTTTGGCATTCGCGAATATTCCGGCGGTTCTCAACGTTTTCTCGTCTCGCGACGCGGTTTAAATTATGGAACGAACTACGGAAATGGATTAGGTTAGGTTTGGAAAAGATAGTTAACAGGAACGAATGTCTTGACTTTTTTTCGAATTTTCCTGTTTGGCATTTCCGCATATTTCAACGGTTCTCAACGTTTTCTCGTCTCGCGACGCGGTTTAAATTATGGAACGAACTACGGAAATGGATTAGGTTAGGTTTGAATAAAAAAAATAGTTGAAAGGATGTCTTGATTTCTTTTTACGGATTGTAGCGAGTTTCTTGAATATCGTTCCAGTACATTGTGCCGAAAAATTAGCGTCGTTCGGTGGTGCCAAGGTTCGAACAGCTCGGATTATCAACAGGCATCTCTATTCAGATGAGAAGTGCACTTTACCCGATAATTACTCGCCGTCGTCGGATAATTATTGAAATAAAAGTAAACCGAGTGGAAGCGTTCGAGCGAAGTATCGATTATTCTGGACCGTTCGATACTATCGAACTGCACGATCGTAACGATTTCGACACGTTGTAAACTTGCGAATTTTTTTTATTATCGTTCCCAACGTGTCTTTTTCTCGTCTTAACAATTTGCAAATATAAAACAAGTAGGTGGGTCGATTATTTGTTGAAAAGCGACTCGAAATCAGAGATAAACGACTTTGACGGTTCTTGGCCGTCGCGTGGTCACCGATGACCGGCGTTTCAAATTTAAAAAATTTTTAAAACAATTTTATTAACCGTACGAACGGTATGAATAGGATCGCGATTAAAATTGTTTACGGTGAGTTTTCATCGTACATCGCGAATCACCATCTGTGCCCATAGTGACGCGCGGCTACTATGGTTGGGTTCGAACCATAACGGTAATATGGACGAGATTTACGGTGGTCGACTTATTACCGTAATTGAGTTTAATTAAAACCGACGTTCCCCGTTGAAGTTCTTTTTATTACGTTCAGTTATCTCGCCTGCAGTGTTGTTTTCCCAGCTTTCTTCTCGCCCGTCGCCGCGATTCTATTTAATTTCATTCGTACGCGTGTAACATTTCTTTCACGGATTCCACTCGCTCCTCTTCCTTTTTCCACCCATAATTACCCGAATTACCGTTTTCTGCCACTTTCGTGCTTTCGCTGACACTTTGCAACTCGCTTTTACGATTCGTCCACCGCGATCTGTTTAATTAAATTTTTCCAATGTTTTCCATCGCGTGACATTTCACAAGGGGAGGTCACGACCTGTCAAACTGCGATTTGAACCAAATTTAGTAGAGTTGTAGGGGCTGATGTCCGAACGAAATCTGTAAAATATTAGACGTTCATGGACGGCCATTTTTGAAAAAAAAAAATGGCTTTAACACTAGAACTACCAAACCAGTAAAAATGACCCATTCGTAATTTCTAATAAAACTTGTAAAAAATTTATTCGACTGAATTTTTGAGAATATATCGTAATTTTCTATAAGAGAATATATAAACACTTATTTTCATTGCATTATACAGAGTGTTCGGCCACCCCTGGGAAAAAATTTTAATGGGGGATTCTAGAGGCCAAAATAAGACGAAAATTAAGAATACCAATTTGTTGGTGGAGGCTTCGTTAAAAAGTTATTAACAATTAAATTCACAAATTTCAAATCGTTCTGGAAAAATTATTTTCGGTTGCGGGGGCCAATTACAATCATTTTTGGTGAATACACATACCCCCGAAATCCTACCTACTTTCTAGAAAAAAATTCGAGAAGGTGTGAAATTTTTCGACGGAAAAAGAAAATTTCAAATTGTTTTGGAAAAATTATTTTCGGTTGCGGGGTTCAATTTCAATTATTTTTGGTGAATAGACATACCCCCGAAATCCTACGCACTTTCGAGAAAAAAATTCCTTACCGAAAATCTAATTAGGTGCCCTTTTTCGACGAAAAATAAAAGTTTCAAATCGTGCTGGAAAAATTATTTTCGGTTGCGGGGGCCAATTACAATCATTTTTGGTGAATACATATACCCCCAAAATCCTACGCATTTTCGAGACAAAAATTCGAGAAGGTGCTGAAATTTTTTGACGGAAAAAGAAAATTTCAAATTGTTTTGGAAAAATTATTTTCGGTTGCGGGGTTCAATTACAATCATTTTTGGTGAACTTTAAACGTTAATAACTTTTTAACGAAGCCTCCATCAATAAATTGGTATTCTTGATTTTCGTCTTATTTTGGCCTCTAGAATCTCTCATTAAAATATTTCCCAGGGGTGGTCTAACACCCTGTATATGCATTTATCCCGTTATAAAAAAACTCAAATCTTTTGCTAAACTATTGATGGTACGGTAAAAATGTATTGGACTTCTGTGTTCCTCTCGTCGAGACCTGCAATTTAAAAAACAAAATGAATTCGATCCGACAACTTCGAAATTTTAAACTTTAAAGCCATTTTTTTTCCAAAAATGGCTGGCCTTAAACGTCTAGTATTTTACAGATTACGTCTGGACATCAGTCCCTATCAATTCTACCAAATTTGGTTCAAATCCCAGGTTAACAGGTCGTGACCTCCCCCAGAGAAATGCCAAAAAAAGAAAACAGGAATAACACGGAATTTTTATGCAGTAATTGTAAAAAATTTCTTCACTACATATACCTTTCGAAAATTAGTTGTTATCTAGCGACTGTTATGTTTAACGTTATCCTGTGTTTGCGTTAGGTTGCCATAGAGTTAATAGAAATGTACTTATTGTGTAACGTCGTAAGCCAGCAAGATTTTACTGGAACAACAGATAACCGATAAAACCAACGCGCAGCAATTTATTTGCGACGTTCGTTCGACCGAACAGTTAACTTTTTGCACGCTTTGTTAAAATAAAATTTACATGGAAAATAAGCTTGGATCGATAAGAATGACCGACGTGTGCGAATAGAGTCATTAATTACGAAGTATTGAATATAAATATTTATCGTTTTATTTTGCATTTTGTATTTTAACATTTCAGTAAATGGCATAGGCGTAGTCTCGTTTCGTAAATGATGAGCCTTATCGTTGATAGATAAACGCTGTCCGTTATCAGCGATTTACCCTTATCTCGTGGATTTCTAGTATTATGTTATGTTACGAAAGAAATCACATTTTGATTAACAAATACCACGATCGAGTATAACCGTTGGGAGTTCCATTAATCTTGTTAAGGAACGCACGAACGGTGGTTCTGTTGTGATATTAACCGAACAGAACGTAGTAACGGTTCGTTGCGTGTCCAAAAAGTAATCGATTTGTCGTGGAATGACAGAAACGTTTCTTCGACCGCCGTTCGACTCTTTCTCGTTTCCTCCAACTTGCTGTCCTTCTCTCGGACTGCCATTCGTTTTTTCTCGTTTGCTCTCGTTCGTTCTTACTGGCTATTCTTTTCTTCTTGTCGTTGACCACGGCTGCATAAAAATCCAGACGACTCCGAGGCTCAATGACATCGCTGTGTATAAACATCTGCCAGGTGTCGAGTTTCGTCTGCGTTGCACGAAAGATACGAACCTCGGCGGGAAGTTAAGAATCGTTACTGTAGCGTTCG